AATCTTAACTTATGATAAACTAAAAAAAAAATAAAAATAGAAGTATAAAACAAATAATAATAATTATTTTTTATTATTATTATTAAATAAACATTAATAAAAAGAAAAGTCGGAATTTTTTAAAATTTATTTAAAGAAAAAAAATTATCATTTTATTAAGCTATTTGAATATATTTTAATTTAAATAATAAAAATTAATCAAAAAAATTTTGATCTTTAAATTACTTTTTAATTTTAATCAAAATCATTTTTTAGTTTCTTTAATTTTAATTTATTAAGAATTTTTAATCTTTTAATTTCTTTTATTTACTTTTTTTAATTACCTAATCTTATTTAATAATTTATACTTTTATTTTTACTTTACTTTTTAGATTTTTCTATAAAATTCTTTTAAGTTTCTTTTTTTCTTAAATAGTTTATTCTATCTTGTTTAATTATTCTTAAAATAAATTTATTTATCTTTTATAAAAATATATTATTCTTATATTTTGATAAGATAAAAAAAAAAATTTTTTTTTTATTTTTTTTTTTTTTATAATTATAAATATATTTAATCTTTAATCTTTTTTAAATTATTTATCATTTTCAAATTTTTTTTTATAATTTTTATAAATCTTAATATCTTAAATATTTTACTAATTATTTTGATTTGTACTTTTATTTAATAAAATACTTTTTTAAATTAAAAAAAAATATAAATAAAATTAATACTTTATTATTTTTCTAATTCTAAAATTATATAAAATGTTTCTTTTATAATAATAAAATAAACTAATTCATTTTTATTATTATTTAAATGGTAAATTTTTTAACTTATGATTTTTTTTTTTATCTATTAATTGTTAAATTTTGAAATTTAATTTTAATTCTTAAATCTAATTTTTAGAAAGAATTCATTTTTTATATAAAGAAAACAAAAATTTGTCAGTTAAATTTAATTATCTTTTAAATTATTATCTTTTCTTTTATTATATCTTTAAATCTTTAATTATTCTTTTTAACATTTCTGATTCTTTTGACTAATTTATGTTATAATATTATATTTTTGTTATTTCCTCTTTAAGCATTTTATTCATTTTTTAATAGCATTTATAATTTTATTAGATTTTTATTCTTTAATTATATTTAACGTTTTAAAGATAATTCTAAACATTTTTCTTTCACTTCTAATAATTTTAATAGTAATCTTAATTGATATACATTTATTTTTATTTATTAATTTATTTTGAAAAGTTAATTTTTATATAATTAAATTCTTAAACTATTTATAATGAAAATTTTAAGCTTGTTATATATTATAAAAAATTATATAATAACTATCTTATCTATCTATAATATTCATATTGTAATAAATAATTATTATTTAATTATTATATAACAATTCTAAAATTATAATTAAATTTATTATTTTATAATATTTAAATTATTACTATATTATTATTATATTTTTATATTCTACTTATTTTCTTTAATTTTCTTTTTAATATTCATAATTTAAGCTTATTATATATATTATCATAATTAATAATAATATTATTATTTTTTATTGATTATTTTATTTAGATTTGCACAATATCAAGATTAATCATTTATTCATTTTTACTGTATTACATAATTATTATTATACAAATCTTTTAATTTATAATAATAAAAATTAAAATTAATATTTAATAAATTCTTAAATATAATAATATATTATAGATATTGTATAATTAATTTAAAAAAATTAATTTTTATTTAATCTAAAGTTATTATTAAATTAATATTTTATTTAAAAATAATAAATTATAAAAATATTATTTTAATTTATTTAGATATTGAATTTATAAATAACTAGAAAATAAATATTTTAATATCTAAGCAAATTTTTATTTTTAAAATATTATTGAATTTATAAAAAAAAATAATACTATTAAACTATTATTACATTATACTATTTCATATAAACTTAAAATTATATTAAAAAAGACAATCAATTTGTTAAAAACTATTTTTCTGTTTAGTTAGTATTAAAGTTATTTTTTTTATAAATAAAGTTTATCACTACAAAAGATTAATTATTTTATATAATCATATTAAAAATTAATATAAAAATTTTGAAATTATGGATATTAACTCTTTGATGTGTTTATTAAATAATAAAATTTTAAAAAATTATGAAAGTTAATAATAAATTTTATATAATATGTTAATTAATATTAATTTTATATAATATTAATAATTAAATATGAGTATTGTAATTAAAAAAATAATGCAATTAAGTTGCAACTTATAGCATAATTAAATTTTTTTATGATGCAATTATGTTGCAACTCAATTGAAATTTGAAAATAACTATAAAAACCATCATTAATAAATAAGCTATTAATATTTAATATTATAATAATAATTATTAATATAGAATATTGTATAATATAAAAATATTAGTCTAATAAATTTAGCATAATCTTATTAACTATATGATAAAAGTAAAATAAAAAATATTTTAAAATTTATAAAAAATTATATATTTAATAATACAAAAAGTTTTATATTAATAAATATTTTTTTAAATCAAATTTTTTTAAAAAAAAAAAATTTTTTTTTTTTATATTGTATTCTAAGTAAAATCAAAAAAATCAAAATCAAAATAATAAATTAATTAGTAAAAATTACAGTCAAGTTTTCTACCATTAAAGGAATAAAATTTTTTAAGAATTTCTTTGAGGTTTTGATTAATTATCTTTTTTAATTAACAATTATCTATTATTAAATGTATGAACAAATTTTCTAATAAGTTCTTAATCCGCCGGTTTTAAATATTCTCAAGAAGTCAGAAAATTTAATAATGTTAACTAACTTATTACTTGACAGTAATTTGGCCTTTTAAGAAAAATTTTCATTGTCAGAAATTTAGCTTGAAATCTTTCAAATTCGATTATTATTTATTTTTATATTAGATATAAAAATAGAAATAAATGATATTGATTCGAAGGATATTACAATTTTTTTTGTATGGATTTATTTGAGCCAAACCAAGGTTTTATTATACAGAAATCAAAAAGATAATAAATAAATAAAATCATTAGCCACCAGAAACAGGTGGAATTACGGCAACTTCATCACCTTCTTTAACTAGAATTGCTTGATCATTTTCTACATATTCCATATTAATAGCATATAAAGAGTATTCAAGTATCGGTGCAAGTTTTTTATGTCGTTCTTTCAATAACATTGTTAAATCTTTTAGGGACATAAAAGGGCTTTGAGATGGTAACGGAATTTTCTCTGACGACATTTTAGTAGCGTCACGAGCTGTCGCATAGTAAAGAATTGTGAATTCCTAATAAAAACCTTTAAAATTAATAAGTTTCATAATTAAAATAAAGTTGCGTAGGATCAATAAATTACCTTTGACATGATTCTGCCCTCGAACAAAAATAAATAAATAAATAAATTATAAATATTTAACGGGTTGAATCTTGTTAAACAATACACGTGATTTATTGATTAAACTTCTGATAAGCTGATGTAAAAGATATCAAGTCAAATGTATATATTTTTTATATTTCTTTTTCCAATTTTTTATTCTCATAATGAAAATGCCACGCACTCGTAAAAACAACTCTGAAGATAAAGAACCTTCTTCTTTTCCTTACAAAAGTTCTCCGAATCGAGGCGGTAAAAATAATTCACAAAGTGGCAAAGATTTATTACAGGCACCATCTTATATAACTTTTGCCAAAGGTACACCTCCAGGTGTATTATTTGATGGTGTTGACGAACCAGGTCCTGAAATAGCCGAACGATTGACTAAGCTACCATATGAAAAATACATGTTTCTTGACAATAAAGCCAAATTTATGGCACAAATCAATTATATCATGTGGGCCACTGGAATTGATGAAAAATCTAATGATGGAGGTTATGAGAAGAAAGTGGGTAATGTGAACATTCAACGAAAGAACGAGTCTTCTCAATATAAAAATATATGTAATGACGGAAGTCCTCCCTCGTCAAAAAAATGATAAAAAACCTTCAAATTTCTATAATGAAATTCACATGCTATTTGCTTTTTGATCTTAGTAAAAGAACGTGGCATCTATTGACATCGTCTTTCGTAATTTATTTCGAAAGAACTCCATGGAAACTGCTGGAAGATCTAGATTATTCAAGATGGTTTTTTTTTTTATTTCAAATGATTGTACATCAAGTATGTTGATTGGTTGGATATTTTAAAATTATATATAAAGCAGAAATAATAAAGTCCTAATTTATGTATTACGTTTCTTTTTAACCAAAAAAATTTTTAAAAAAAGAAACTTTTGGCTCAATAGCTTCTCAAGGACTAAAAGTTCTTTGATTCGAGAGAAACCTTACTTTTTCTGTTCCTTGAAATTATCATCCTTTGCGTCGGCAAGAGTAACTTTATATAAGTGAACACATATATAAAATACATATATCATGTCTGTCGTAGGTGCGTAACATTCTGTTTCTTAATCGGTTAAATTTCAAAAAAATAATTTTGATTTTTATAAATTTATTATACGATCTCGCTTTATATTACTGGTGTTTAGGTATTGACTTTGGAAATCTTAGTTCAAAGATTGCAATAGCACGCAATCGAGGAATTGACGTAATTTGTAATGAGGTTTCGAACCGTGCTACTCCGTAAGTTATCTTCTAAAATCTTACCATATAGTATGAGTATATTTGTTAAAAGAGTTCCGATTTAACTTTTCCCGCAGATCTCTGGTATCTTTTGGTCTTAAACAAAGATACTTGGGTGAAGCAGCAAAGACCCAAGAAATTTCGAATTTTAAAAATACAGTAGGTTCTTTAAAACGACTTGCCGGTCGCACTTATCAGGATAAAGAAATTCAAGAGATCGAAAAAGAATATATTAATGCAGAATTAGTAGATGAAAAGGGACAACTTGGTGTTAAGGTATGAATCGAATTTTTAAAAAAAATAATCGCAATCCGACGTATCATTTTGTATGTGGTTACGACGTTACACATGATAGGTCGCGTTATCATAGCGTTTACACACTAGTGCTCAATTAATACAATAGTATATTAATATGCTATACATTTTTAAATAGGTTCAATACCTTGGCGAGCAACGCATTTTCACTAATACGCAATTAATCGCCATGTATTTTACTAAACTTAAAGATATCACTTCTGCAGAGCTTAAAATCCCAATTTCTGATGTTGTGATCTCTGTTCCTGGTTGGTTTACTGATATTCAAAGAAGAAGTATTCTCGACGCGGCAGAGGTTGCCGGTTTAAATTGTTTACGTTTGATGAATGATACTACTGCTGCTGCATTGGGCTATGGCATCACAAAGACGGATTTACCGGAAGATAAGGCTCAAGCTCGTAATGTCGTGTTTGTTGATATCGGACACTCATGTTATAATGTAGCAGTTGTGTCTTTTGTTAAAGGACAACTAACCATCAAGTCTACCGCGTATGATCGACATTTTGGAGGACGTAATTTTGATCAAGTGTTGGCTGATCATTTCGCTGAAGTAATCAAGGAAAAATATAAAATTGATATTAAAGCGAATCCCAAGGCACTTTTCCGTCTCCGTACGGCAATAGAAAAATTAAAGAAAGTTCTTTCAGCTAATAATCAAGCTCCTCTTAATGTAGAGTCGATCATGAATGATATTGATGTGAGTGCTATCATTACTCGACAAGAATTTGAGGAGTTATCACAACACCTTCTTGATCGAATTGAAGGTCCACTTTCGCAAGCTTTACAAGAATCCGGACTTAAATTGGAGGATATTCATTCTATAGAAGTAGTAGGTGGTTCAACGCGTATACCCTCTATAAAAGAGCGTATATCAAAATTTTTCGGCAAGGAATTAAATTATACACTTAATCAAGATGAAGCGGTTGCACGTGGCTGTGCACTTCAATGTGCTATTTTATCACCTGTATTTAAAGTTCGCGAATTTACAGTTCGGGATATTATTAACTACCCCATTAAAATCAAATGGGAGTCTATTCCTGAAATCCCGGATGAGGGGACTGAGCTTGTTGTGTTCCCTAAGAATAATAGCATTCCTTCAACAAAGATTTTAACGTTCTATCGTAAGCAACCATTTGATATTGAAGCTCATTATTCGGAACCTGATAAAATCGTTGCTGGAATTAATCCTTGGATTGGTAGATTTTCAATAAAAGGTGTAACACCAACTGAAGCAGGTGAACTTAGTATTATTAAGGTGAAGGCCAGGCTTAATGTACATAGCGTTCTATATGTAGAAAGTGCTTCGGTATATGAAGAAGTAATTAAAGAAGAAAAAGAAGAATCACCAAAACCGGAAGATCCACTTTCAATGGAAACTGATAAAACTGAAGAAGCGCAACCTAGACCACCAAGTCCGGCGACAAGGAAAGTTAAAAGTCAAGTTAAAAAAGTTGACTTACCACTTGTATCAGGCACAGGTGGATTGGACAAATCAATAATTACACAATTTAAGGAAATGGAAGGTCAAATGGTTGCAACTGACAAACTTGTTGCGGATACTGAAACTCAAAAAAACGCGCTGGAGGAATATATATACGATATTCGAGCTAAAATAGAGTCATCATATCAAGAGTTTGTCAATCCAGCCGATAAGGATAAATTAACTAATCTTTTGACTGCTACGGAAGATTGGCTTTATGATGAGGGAGAAGATGCAACAAAATCGATATATTCGGAAAAATTAGATGAATTGAAAAAGTTTGGTAATCCTATTGTGGAACGATATCGTGAATCTGATGAACGACCTAGAGCAGAAAAATTGTTACGCGATAGTATACAACAATTTGTTTTATGTGCTACGAGTAATGAGGAAAGGTATAATCATATTCCTGATGAGGAAAAAAAGAGTATTGTGGAACGAGCTACAAAAATTTCAGAATGGTTAAATGAGAAGTTAACAGCTCAAAATAAAGTGGCAAAATACGAGCCACCTGTCGTGTTCATTCGCGACATTTTAAAAGAACGTGAGGTACGCATCCAAAATTTTTTTCACAAGATTCAATTTTTTGAAGATTTTTTTTCTTATTCCTTTACTTAATTTTAATTTTTCTATTTTTAATGTAGAATTTGGTACATTTTGCATCTCCAATTTTGTCAAGACCAAAGCCCAAACCAGAACCTAAACAAGAACCTAAACCTGAAAATACTCCAGCTTCTGGAACTCCGGAAAATCCATCTGGAGAAACACAAAAGTCAGAAGGAGCCACTACTGAAGAGTTAAAAGAAACAAATGAGGGCCAGTCCACAAATGAAAATGCTTCCAAGAAAGAACAAACCGAGATGGATGTCGATTAATTATATTTATTTACGCGAAGCATAATACAGAGAATTTTTTCCTTTTCCACTTTTTTTTTTAGAATAAGAACTTGCTTGTGCTTTAGATTATTTCACATATATTTATTAGAAGACATCAAAAAAATTTTCACATTTTGTATTATGATATTTAATGCATTGAATCAATAATGTCTTTGAATTATCAGTCAATAAAACTTGCTACAGATCATCACCTAATCAAGATTAAGATATAGATATAAATATATATATATATATATTTTTTTTTTTTTTTTTGATAAAACGCTTATTTTATTTCTTAATAAAATGATAGAATTCCCACCGTTAAAAAATGATTTAATTCTTCGTGCAGCTCGTGGTATGATGATAAAGTCAGTCGATTTCTTTAAATAACCATTTTATTATATACTTGCTTTTATTATTCAAGGAGAGAAAACAGAACGTGCACCAGTATGGATTATGAGACAAGCAGGGAGATATTTACCAGGTTAAAAATAAATGAATTTTACTTTATTAAAATACTTCTTTCTTCAATGAACAATAAGCAATAAATTAAAATTTTATTTTAGAATTTCGTAAAGAGAGAGAAAAACATGATTTTTTCACAATTTGTCGAACGCCAAAATTAGCGACACTAATTACCTTACAACCAATAAATAGGTATGATGGATTATTAGACGCAGCAATTATTTTTTCCGATATATTAGTTATACCACAAGCATTAGGATTAATAGTAGAAATGGTACCAAACAAAGGACCACATTTCCCTTCGCCACTTGAAACACCAGCGGATATTGATACAAAATTAAATAAAAACGTGGATGTATATAAAGAATTAGGATACGTATTTGATGCTCTTACAATGACTAGACAAGCATTGGAAGGAAGGGTTCCTTTATTAGGATTCATTGGAGCACCATGGACCTTAATGGCTTACATGATTGAGGGAGGTGGAAGTAACAATTTTTCAAAAGCTAAAACTTGGTTATTCAAGTACCCTGAGGAGAGTAAGAGATTATTGCAGATTATCACTGATGTTGCAGTGGATTTTCTTATTGGGCAAATTAAAGCAGGAGCTCAGGTATGGATTGGGAATTGCTTTATATTTTATACCTAATTTTTTTTTAAACAAAAAATAATGATTTTTTTTAAATATACAGATGGTACAGGTATTTGAATCATGGGGAGGTGAATTGTCACCCCATGATTTTAAGACATTCTCATTACCTTATATCTCGCAGATCGCTGATAGAGTTAAAAACAAATTCAAGGATGACGGATTAATCCCTGTACCCATGACAATATTCTGTAAAGGTTCATGGTATGCATTAGAATCATTATCGGATATCGGATATGATACTATTTCATTAGATTGGACTATTGATCCAGCATACGCTAAAAGTGTCACGAAGGGGAAAGTAACTTTACAAGGAAATATGGATCCTTGTATGTTGTATGGTGGTGATGAAGCTATCCGCTCAACTGTCAAAACAATGTTGGAAGCTTTTGGTACACATGAAAAGTATATTGTTAATCTTGGCCATGGGATTTTACCAACAGTTGATCCAGAAGCTACAAGAGTTTTCTTGGAAACTGTTCACAGTGTCGGTTTAGATTTAAACAAAAATAGATAATTATGTAGAAATCCATAAAAAGTTATAATCATTTTAATGATATTAATTTAAAAATTGACTATCACTCAAATCAATGTCTGCTATGTAAAGCATTCGCCCTTTTTTTAGAAGTATTTTGAGATTGAGATTTTTATTATTGAAGTTTTTTTATTATTGTTTTTTGTTAAATCTTCTAGTTTTTAAGGTGATTTGATTACTTTTTTTTTGTTTTTATTTTGCAAAATGGTTTTAGTTTTTCATTTTGAAAATCAGAAAATGGAAGTTTAAACAATTTCATTTTCATCAAATAATACGCCTAAAAAAACTGTTATTTTATATATTAATAAAAGCAAAGCTTTCAATATAGATTAAGTTTATAATGTAATAGAAATATGTTTAAAATGATAATATTACTAAAAATAAAAATACTATTTTTTTTTTTTTTTTTTTGAAAAAAATGATAATATTTCAACATTTTTGGTATATTATATTAAAGATTATTATTTTTTTAAAAAATACTTTACTTATAAATTACAGATTACAATCAACTTTTTTTTTTTGATATTATTATCAAAAGTTATACTTAAGATAATATATATATTTTTTATTTATATAGTATCCAATATATCAGCATGATTTTAAGGGTAGAAGGATTAACACAAATAAGTTATGTAAATCTTCATATGTTTGATCTATTTATTAAAAGATCTTAACAAACTCAATGATTTAATCATAATCCCATTAATGACATTAATTTAAGAATTGCCACCTAGAATGATCTTCTAAAAGCTAAGCCTCTAGATTTACTGGATTTCAGAATTACTATTAAAATTTGAATAGAGAAATCACTTTTAGCTATAAGTATTTTTAGTCAATTATTTTTTCTATATTTATCAATACAATTAGAATTATTATGACTTCTATCCAATATCAAGATATTCAACACATAATCAGAAAGGCTTAAAATGTAATCATCTATTATAAATTTTAGAAAGGTGAGTAGTTGTCATACACTATTTTTAGAAAAGTATCCAGTCAAGCTTTTTTTAAATTTCTTAAAATCAGACATATCAACTAAATAAAATTTTTTTTTTAAATAACCCTCCTAGTTTTAATGATGATGTGCATATATTTATATTTGTGTAATAATGCATAGATCAGGTTTAATATACAAAATATAAAACAACTTCAATTTCACCTTTTTAAAAATTGCGTCATTCAATATAGGAAAAAATTATGAATTAAATGACTTTGAACGTGAACAAATTGTCAGTTTAAAATTAGTGGGAAAGACTCATGAAGCCTTTGCACTGCATTTTAAAATTTTCAAAAAGCACTGTTACAGATGTAATTGTGCGGTATGCTAATTCTAATAATGGATTAAATGCTAAAAGATTCAGATGATCAAATTCTATGAATAAAGATGGTGAGCTTAGGCAAATTATAAAAAAAAGAATCAGATATCTCTTAATTATTGACGATTTCAATTATTTTAAAAATTTACACTTAAAATTTTAAATAAATTTTTTTTTTTTGACTGACCGGATACTTTTTTGAGGGTAATGTACTTATATTATCAAATTCACATAGAAATTGAATCTAATCTCTACTTAAATGACAGTTCAATTGAATATTACCACAGTAGTACAATGCAGTCTTTATCAATCATAGCTATTTTAAGTTTTCCTAAAGATATTTCCAAATCTATTAATTACTAGTATATCATTTCCTTACTTGTTTAAGGTTTCCTAATATTTATATATATTATATTTTACTTCACTTTAAATAATAATAGTACTATTTGAAATATTAATATATGAAATGAAATTCATAATAAAATTGATAAATTCTAAATTTAAAAATAATAAAATTTAAAAATATTAAACAATTTTAAATAATCTTAAAAGTTCTTATAAATTATCGATTTTAAGAAATATATTTATTTTATTAGCATTATATTTTATTTTTCTAAAATATTTATTTTTGAAATTTAAAATTAAATATTAAATAAAATTCTAATTTAATATTTCTATAAATTATTAATTTTAAAGGTTTAAAAAAATATTTATAAAGTTTATTATATCAATTTTTTAACAAAAATTTATAAATAAGTAATTAAATATTTTTAATAATTAGAATTTTTTAAATTTGATTAAAATTATTTAAAACTATTTAATATTTTTAAAAAAATAAATGAAATAATATATTATTATTCCATTAGTATTATATATATACTAATAAATTTTTTGTTAATTATTTTACCAGTTTATAATATATATATAACATGATATATTTATATTAATACAATAATCAAGAAATATATATTTATAATATTTATTCAAATATATATTTAAATTTATAATAATATTAATTTATTTATAAATGTGAAAATTTACATTTTTAATTGTATTATAATTACAAATTATAATATTTATATTATATATTCAATTTGAATTTTTTTATATTAAATTAGAAATGTTAGTTATTACTAGGGATGTAGCCTTAATGATATAACATAATCATAAGTCACATCATGTTATAGACATATAATGCATGTAACTTAAGAGTAAATTTAATATAATAATGTATATTGCAATTTATAATGCATGTCATATTGATATAATTTAAATATAATAAAATTTGCAAATTTGATATATAGTTTATAAGTTTATTTAATAAATTTAAATTTAATACAACAAATTAACAATTAATAAATTAGTTTAATTAGTTTTCTAAAATTTGATTAACTAA